TTATCAGGAGACTCGTGATATTAAAAGCAGGCTGATAGAGTCATAATGTCATTCTCAAGTACCTGACACAGTCCTCTAAATTAGTTTGGGTTCAGGGGGAAATTAAGGAGACAAAGCAGCTTAAATGGCAGCTCCCTGAAGACGTTCAAAACCTGCTGCCCTCTCACACACAGAACTCCATTTACAATGGTCTAATACGCAGGAATGCAAGAAATCGTTTAGATCGTTACAACCACCGAATTGTTCTTCTTTTACTTGATAAATTACTTAAAGATAAAATCTGTAATCATTTAGTAATTTGCTGTTAATCGACTTTGTGAACATTTTAGCACTATAGGTGGAAGCAAATTGGCTCGGTATGTTCAGTGGCATATGATTAGTCAAATCTTAGCACAATGTATGAAAACTCCAATTATAAGCAGTATGTGCACACTTACACAACCATTTTTAATACTGAATTCTTATTAACTATTAATATTAATTTAATAATTCAAAAGGTATAAAATCTCATTCATTTCATGTTCTCAGGGCCTTTAATTCCCACTCTACTATACAGTATGAGGCTTTTTTTTATACTTAACCATGAATAACTGTACATACATTTACTATACTAACTGCATATATGTACACCTTATTCTCTATTATGTGAAACTGATGTTGGCATAGTTAATTTAGTAGAGACTTTTTAGGGTTAAGTTTTTGTAGTTTTGATCATCATTTCTATCAGTAAAAATAAAACTGTGCGAAGAATAAAAAGACGATGATAATGCAGGTTTTAAGCCAAACTTATTTGGAGGTTCTCAACTGCAAAGGGTTAAAAACAAACAAAGAACATACAAACAACAATGGAAAATAAGACCTTATTAACTACCTCTCATGGTGTGACTATCTTTGATAGTTATATCATTATTCTAATATTGTTACTATAAAACAGAGATTAAAGTCTTTTTTTCTGTAAATGTTTTAAACAAATCAAGAGAGTTCTGGCCTCAGCTTTCACACTGTTTGGGAAAATGAAGATTACATGTTATCCTAACTCTACAAAATGATGGTCAAAAGTACAAAATAAGACCCAAGTTTTAATATACTGGAATAGCCGGCTAATATTCTTCCTGTGGACTAAATTGTAACAGTTAACCTGGACCAGGTGTAACTAAGATGAGTCAAACTACTCTGATGACATAAAACCACAGCTGCAAACATCCTCTCTCTCTCTCTCTCTCTCTCTCTCTCTCTCTCTCTCTCTCTCTCTCTCTCACACACACACACACACACACACATACACACACACATATATACTGCAGGCAGAGGGAGAGCGCGCTGCACCTGCTCTGTGTCTGCAGTATGTTGTGAGTGTGGACAGGCAGGATTATAAGGTGTTTTGAAATACTCTTGTAATCCCACGGCAGCAGGACTGCACATATGTGCCCAATCAAAAAGGACACACACACACACACACACACACACACACACACACACACACACACACACACACACACACACACACTTACACTTCTATCCTTCTATTTTAAAATGCTCCAACAATGCTTAACGCTCCTCTCTTGTCTCCCTGGACACCACAGCATCTGTTGCCCATAGCGATTATCTGGTGATTACATGAAAGCAGTGGCCAAATTCTATTTAGACTCATTGTCCTCTTTCTCTCTCCATCCCCTTGTTTCTCTTACAACTATATGTCCTTCCCCACATCACTCTATTTTAATCTTCCACTACAGTATCTCTCACCACACAGACACACACAGACACACACACACACACACACACACACACACACACACACACACACACACACACACACACACACACACACACACACACACAGACCTCTCTCTTTCTTTCTCAGGTACAATAGTGACCTCTCCATTGCCCTAGAGACTACTTCAGTGACAGCGTACTGCTGCAGTGGTACGCAGTCATAAGGACAGCTTGTACAGCAGACATCCACTCTCACATACACTCACACACGATCGATTAGATCTGCTTCAAACACACTACATGACCAAAAGTATGTAGACAGCTGGACATTTCACCCATACGATAAGGTCTGCGTTTAAATTCATCCCAAAGGTGCTGGATGGAGTTGAGGTCAGACCAGTCAAGGGTAACTTTATTTTACCCATGACTTCCACTTAACACTTTCACTTAGTATAGTAGTATTAGTATAGTTTCCAAGGATGATTTCTAGACATAACTATGAAACATAGTACTATAGTGATGATAGGGGAAGTCTATAAGTATATTTTTTTATATTTATTCAGGCAATCAAGTAAATGTTCCTTAATTGTTCATTTTCTTATTGCTGTGAAAGACTTTCTATGCATGAATAGATTACTGAGTGTGCTTGGGCCTCTTCTTTTTTATTGTATTTTTCTTAATTTTGCAAATGTAGGCAACCTACAACAAATTCAATAAAACTATTTAAATATATGGTTGACAGCAAAATAGTTCAGCTTTAACTGAATATAATGCATCAAAGGTTTCCTGTAGTATTTTAAGAGCTGCTCTGGTAGTGTCTCATTATTTATCCATGTCTCTAAGTTATGTTAGCAATTAACTGTAATTAATTATTTGGAAGTGTATCAATTAAACACCACCTGCATTACAAAACCATTCCAGGAAACTGCCTATGACTTTAAAGTTAATTGAAAATATGATACATGGAGTTAAGTGACACATGAGATAAAGTATCTTTGTGTACCTGTCTTTGTGCACAGGAGCATTGTACTGTCTAAAATATGTTGCAGCAAGTTTTGTGTTACGTTTTCCCTTAATTGTCCAAACACTGAAGTACAATCACAGTACAAGTTATTGTGGCCTTGTTGTGTACTTGTGCAGCCTCTAGTGGCTCCACTCTGAGCTGCAGTGCAGCGTCACTCAATTCTTCATATAGACAGAATCCTTCTGCTATACATTATTTGTATTTACATGCACATGTCTAGGTCTAAATAGGCATACTGAAGGAGTATGTCGTGCATATGTGCTTCATATGAACATCATTTAAGGCTCTTCTGTACCCCATAACAGGAGATTGATGTATAGTTTCACTTGTGATACAAAGTGATACATTTAAAACGCATACATAAACACATAAGCATGTATTAACACTTTCTCTATCTCACATATGCATCCAGAAACACACACACACACACACACACACACACACAACTCACTCAAGTGCAGCATGTGGGCGGCATCCCCAGCACTGTGAAACATCTTGCATCCCACATGCTTATATAACTCCCTCTCCACCTCCTCCAGCTGATCACTCATCACTTTATCACTTTATCCTCCGCTGGGAAGGAAAAAACCCCTTCACTCTCTCTCTTTCTCTCTCTCTCTCATTGAAATCAGCCAGGCGGGCGCCCTCTCCAATCGAGCATGATTTCGTTACACTCTGAGCATCAAAGGAGCACATCACGCCGATGAGATCAAGCTGCAGCAAATCCCAACTCTAGTGAAGATTTTATGTTGGCAAAAATTGAATCATAAACCTGCACTACTTGTGACAACATAGGAGCTCAAATGTCAAACCTTGTTATTATCCAGCTTTACTGATATTTGCAGAAGGAGAGAATTCAATCAAGAGGGAGCAGCTGCAAACTATCTACTTGCTCTTTATTACCGCACATTTTAAACCACAAACTTCTACAGCAAGACGAAGAGCTGTTATGACAAGAAGTAAAATAGAGAAAGTGCTATAATGCAGTAAGGTTATGATGTAACAGAAAAAATGCACCTCCTTCCTGTTTGTATTCTTAGCACGCATTGCACAGTAATGAGAAGAAATGCCTGATGGGCATTCTGCACTGTATGGCCTCAGCATCCTTCCCACAGAGGGAACTTTCACATCGACATCAGCTGCGTTTTGGATAATCCAAAGGACAAAGCCTCTGTGAGAACTGATGTATGGGTCTCTAGTGTGATATATTGAGCAAGAGAAACAAATTCAGTCTGTCACCGAGGTGAGAGATGAGGACAGCACAACAAGCATTCAGCTTCACAAAGCCCCAACAAATATATCCATCAGAAGCCCTCATTTAAGCTAAAAGGGTGTTTTCCACAGCTTAAAGGTGTAGTTAATATCTGTCTATGAGGGAGCAGTTTGACCTGCCACATAAATGTCTCTAAAGTAAGAGATAAGACTGTGTGTTGACACAACAGGGATTATTGTATTAGTATCAAGATAGCCTCACATGAATGAAAAACAAAACAAAAAGTTTTTTCACACTAAAAGCAAGTCAAATATCTGACATATCACATCACATGAAAGAACCAAAACTATAAATGTTTAAGTCTATCACTCAATACTTTCCTACTTCCCTACTCTGTCTGTGGTATTCAACACCAAGACAATTCCTTCCTAATGAAGACACATTCAGAAAATCGAAGCAGCAGAGGCTGAAATATCTGGACTTTTAGTTCCTGGTATTGGCTGGTTACCTACATTTCCCATAATGCAGCTAAACGGCCTATTTCATTAGACCCTCCCTGCCTGGTATATGCCCATGTCTTTCAGACACCACCTCCTTTGGTCATAGCATTAAGTAACTGAGCAAACTCTAACTGCTGATGAAGACCGTTAGATGTGTTTGAAAGGTCTAGTAATCTTGTAAGATTATGTTGTCAAACCATCATCAATGTTATTTTCTCAGAAAGAAGAAACTGAGTATCCTGCTCTTAAAAAAAATTAATACATAACCTTTTAAAAACAGGTCACAAATGTATAGTGTCATTTTTTTTTTAAAGGCTGAATCATTTCCTCAAACAGCCAGGGATTGTAGTTAGTATTTTGTAATTGTTGAGGACTATTTCTCACGATGAATTAATACATATGGAGGTTTTATGACATAAATATACTGCATATCAAGATTTGGGTACATAGGCAATATTTTGGTCTTCTCATGGGATTTGTTGGCAATAAGATCATAATAAAAGTCCTTTAAAATGGAAAACACAGTGAAAATAACTATGTGACTTACATTGATGAGCTCAATCTCCCAGATCTTCTTGACCAGCTCCATGGAGGTGTAACCGTTGATGAGGAAGGACTTGGTGTAGTCGCCGAGCTCCAACGACTCCAGCCACTCTGCCACCGATGTGGGGTTGTTGCCATCATAACCGATGGGTCGCACCTTTGGTACAGACGGGAAGGAGAAAGAGCGTAAGAGGTGATCTTTCCACTTCTGTATTTTTAGCTTTTTATTACTTTTCTGCAGTTATTTACTAGAAGTATATTAAACATATTCTGGACTGCTGAGCATATTTCACCTCTGCACATTCTCTGCTTGGGTAGTTTCATGATGTAGGTTTTTGTTTTCCTCTATATTCTCATAAATATAGTGATATTGTGAGGAAATGTTGGATGTGTTTTTCTGCCCATATGGTACACTGCCTTTGACCTGGAGCCTGGTAGCATAGAACAGCTGGTGTCTTAAGGTACACTCTGTACAAATGCTAACTTCATTACAGCCTACGTTTCTTACATAACAAGACTGTTCAAATTCTATTTACACCATATTTGATTGCTGCAATGCACTTTTCCCCCCATCTTCTGTCTTCATTCTGCTGCAACAGCCTCATTTCTACATGAGGATCATTAAAGATTTATTCTATTATAAAAGACCTTCCATAGTTCAGCAGAGTACAGGAGGAATACAAGAGATGCTGAGCTCTAGAAGAGTAAATCTTTTAGGATAGAGCATAGCTTTATAACTACATGCTGGAATAAAATCACGTACTTCTCAAATATTTGCAGTGCAAACAACTAAACACAAGCCTAACTTTTGAGAAAGGGCAGAATAGGACGCCAACAGCAGGGAGTTATTGCCTTGAGTGAGATGCTTTGAGAGCGTCGCAGATAATTCATAATTCATTCACTTTTATTTTGACAGTCAAAACAACTTCAGAGAGTTTATGGTGCTTCAAACCAACATCTCACATCCCACATCCTCCACCCAAGCTGAGCATGTGTTTGCCTATGTGTGTGATGGCAGACAAAAGTTAAAGGTTTAATTTTTTCACAGTGTTTTGGAGGGGGTGAGAAGAGGCGACTGGAGATCAAAGTTTGCTGAGTGTCTGTATGAAACCTGCTTATTTCTGAGCTTAGAGTCCTCCTTTTCTTTCTCTCCTCTCCCTTGCAGACTCTTTTTTTACTCTCTCTCTCTCTCTCTCTCTCTCTCTCTACCCATACAGTCACACACCTTTCATCTTAATTTCTGTCTCACGCACATGCAAACATAAACTTCTCTCCCAAGTCTGTAAATATTTTCTGTATTATTTCAACAGCCATTGGTCAATTTTAAGCAACTGTTAAGTAACAAATCAGAGTTCAATCAGAGTTGGATGCTGTGATCTCCAGTAACATCTTTGTGTGCCTGAATCATTCATCCCCTTGATGCCGCAAGGAGTGTGTGGCGGTGTCTGTATCTGCAGAGACCCTGCCCTCCGCCTGTACTTCTTATTTGCCATTTGTTGACGTTTCTAGGCATCACCCTTTGGGCAGTGTGTGTGTAGCTCCCAGCCAATAAAAGCGTGCAGGGTGTGAGGGCGGGAAAGTACAGATCAGCTGCCAGATCTTAAACACACATCCAAGAGGAAGCGTTAAGCCGAGGAGGAGGGGCTAACTTTGAATGTTGCGTTTTCACGCCGCAGCCGAAAAAAATCCCACTCTTTCTGTCTTTAAGTATTTTGTAGAACATACAAAGACAAACCTTACCACCCACAGAGAGAGTTAAATCACATGGAAACACAGATGGAGCAAGAGATTTAACGAAACAGATTGGCTGCAGCTAGAGGTGAAGATCAGTTCTCATTTTTATTTTGTCAACCGAAAAAAAAAAAAAAAATATATATATAGACTTAAGAAGTTCATATATTATTCATATTTATGATAACCACAGATTAGAAAGCTCAGATTTAGTTCATGTTAATCAGAGCTTGCTGAGATGTTCTTGTTGGATGTATCAGCTGCAGTACTGACCCTGGGCAGCAGCCGGATGGCCTGCAGGAGGCGTTGTCTGTGGGCCGAGTTGAGGATCCCAATCTCCAGCAGGTCCTGGTCTTCCACCACATTGCTGCCCTGGAGAGTAACAAAACAACAGCTAACGTTAGCATTTATGGAGCAGTAGAGGGCAAGTTTGATATTCTTATTTAAGATTCTGGCTCACACGCAGCAGCCTGTGAGAGTATCATTCAGAGTTTCACCTTTAATTAATCCAATGGGAAACCTTAACAGACCTTTCCGTCATCCCCCCTCCAGAGAGTAAGAAAGAGTCTTCATGCAGACAGATAATTAGAGGAAAGGAGGAAATCAGGGAGGGATTGGAAGAGATGTGGTGTGCGTGAAGACAGCTACAGCAATGAGAAAGTCAAGTCAGCCAGAAATACCATCAGAAATATAGATTCTGACAGAAGTGAAAAGTAAAGTAAGGTAATCATCAAAATGATGGTAAAGAAATAGCAGGAGAGGGACCGTGTGACCAGCCTGGAGGCAGTCTCAGTCTCAGACCATACACACACACACACACACACACACACACACACACACACACACACACACATATACACACACAGGTGTAGAAGGTAGAAGTGAAGGATTACAACTGTCAGTCCCTCTACATGTCAAACTAATAATAATGATAAACATCCAAGAGACGAGGAGAAGAAAAAGCAGGTAGATAGCAGATATCTGATTTTTCCTCCCTCTACTTTAGTTTACTTTTGTCCTGAAGTTGGCTCTGGGGACCACTGTGCCCTCCAAAAGGACATTTTGCTTCGAGGCTGTGACATTTTAATTCTAGATAGCAGATAGCTGTCGTTTGTCTTTCACGGCGGTATCTTGAAGAACGTTTGCCAGAGAAATCTCCGTTCAGGTTGCTTTACTTTTGAGAATCCAGATATTCTAGCCAAAGCTACTAGATCAGCACACACTTAATTACTAGACATTTACATTTTTAACTGGAGGGCTTTGAACTGTCCCAGTCTACAAACAGACCGAGACTTGACAAGCAACTTAAATATCAAACATAGAAGAAAGGTGGAGGGTTATTCAGGAAATGTTGGAGCAGTGCTGGAGTTAACATTATAGTAACCAGAAGCCCTTGAGCAATCCATCTGAGCTAGTCCTGAAGACTGCGGTTGTTTACTGAGCATCTCCCAGAAATGAATGTGTGGATCTCCACCTAAAAGGACCAGTGTGTAGGATTTAGGCCTCTCCCCGTCCAAGCTCAAAGGAGAAACTACGATGGCCCCAAAAAACGCAAATGGCCCCAACTAGAACCAGTGTTGGTTTGCTACTATAGAAACATGGCAGCTTTCATGTAACACACTGGACTTTTAAATATAAGGACAATGCTGGAAAACCTCACACAAAATGTAACTCAAGGACAATTTGTAAAGTTGTATGGAGTCATACAGTAGGAAGAAATACGGATTTAGTAATATGTGCACATGGTGCTTAACTTGGAATAGGTTTAGCACATTAGTGCACCAGTTTTAGACTATTTCACTGATTGACAACTGGTGGCAGAAACATGGAAACGAAATGTAGCAACTTGGCTAGCAATATTCATATAAACATCTAGGTTTAAAAATACTGTAAAAGATTTGCTTTGCAAGTGCTGACAGATGAGGGAGTAAATGCATCTTGCAAGAACAAACAAAGAGTTTTGGTAAGAAACACTGAATTAATATTCAAATCAGATCAAACAGGACATTAAGACATAGCTGATTGACCCTCGTACTGTATGTGCAACATACTGTACGCTTGGAATATCTGGTACAGTCATCTCAGTGCTTTTCTGACACCTATTATTAATGAGTGCATTCACTATTGGGTAGAAGCATATAAAATAACTAATTATAGTATCTAAAACGATCTAACCCACCCACACCTTTTATTCTGAAGGTCAAAGGTGCATACTGAAAATTACTGTTTTTGTTAATGCATCTTTACTCTGCTATTCCAAATGATTTCTTCTCCTCAGTTTATTAATCCATGCGCAAAGACTGTTAAACCAAACACACGGTATATTAATCCATGCTCTCATTTTATTAATCCATGTACTTGTTTATTTTCACATCATGTTTTCATACCCTCTGTGCCCAGGCAGATTGTCTAAAACTTTACCTTGAGGAATGGAAGTTTAAAATGTCAACAGACTTTGGAGAATAAAAAGCCTCTTAAAAAGTGAGTGATGTTGCTGCAAGCTTATTAGTTTAACTTTGTCTCCAGGGCTCCACTAGTCTGTCACTGTGCTGCTGCAGCCGTTGATTGGACTCATCCTGTGGCTAAACTTATTCCTTCCACATTCTCCTCACCAACCTGTACACCCGGGCCCTCTGTGAAACGAGTGCAGTTCATAGATCAGCTCCCAGGCTGATTAATAGAACACAGTCCAAAGCCGAAGTAAGTTAGAGTTACCGTGCTCCAACTTCGCAGGAGAATAATGACTCACAGAGTCAGCGCAGAGTTGAGTGTGGGGGGATTCAAAGGCATAACTAATTGCTCCCTGTTGGAATCCTGATAGGAAGAGATTGAGTTCCTTAATGTTTGTTCTTTCTCTAATCCTGTCCTCTTTCCCATTCTGTCTTGACATTATGCTTGTCCCATATCTGCCACTTCAAAGTGCATATGATGGATCAGGGGATAAATATCACATCGATCAATGTAACTTGAGTTAGGATAAATGAGAGAGAAGCCATGTAATGTCTGTACATTTTCTAGACTCAGCTTTTCCTCTTAATGCCCACATTGTTCTGTATTGTAAAAGTAAAGACAGCTATTCTATCTTGCAAATGTATGTTGAATTCACTTGGTATGCAACATTGGTATAAACACTAAAAATCTATTTTGCTGGTTGCGGAAGGCGTTCAGCATCCACAGTGTTGATAAAATGGCCTGTGGTATGCTTGTGATACTTTGACCACATCGCTTAAAAACGGCGCCACAGTGGGTCACAGACACTCTGAACGTAGGAATTAAAATTCATGCACAGCAGCTGGCGGTTGAGGCAAGAGTAGATATGGGGCAAAAAATTGATATTCAGTGATGGTAGTGAAGGCCATTATTGGCACCAAAAGGCTTAGATGAGTAGTACAAATCATGCTCGGCCTACTGTATCTCTTGCTCTTCCTCTGTTCTGTTCCTTTCATGCCTCTGTTCATCCGTCGCCTTTTCTCCCTCGTCTCTCTGTTCTGCTATCAAAGAAGTAGTCCTTTTTTCTCATAGTTTTGTTGCCTCTCTCTTACTTATTCGTCTTTTCTCTGTCCTCGTTTGCACTTTTAGTCTGTAATTCCAATTCATTTTGGTTTCTTTACAAACTTGTTGGTGTTACATTTATCTTTTTTTTTGCATAAGTGAAGAAGCAGTGACTTAAATTTCACCAACATGGTGGCAGTTTGATATTCATAAGAATGTTTCTTTCAGAATAATAAAGTCCTTTATGAGGAGGATTAGAGGTGCCACCTTTGAACGAAATGTGGATAATGACAAAATTTCATTTCAAGTATTGTTGTTTCCTCCCTCTGAGGAGCAGTTGGGTCGAATTCATTTCTCTAGCCTCACGGCTGCTGTTATCAGCTGCTGTTTCTTTAGTATGCGCTGCACAATATCATGCTTTATCTCTTCGTTTCTGCTATCTATCTAGTACTGCCACCCATTTGTTTTTGTAATTCCATGTACAAACCCAACCCCGCTGTAGCTCTGTCTTCTATCTTTCTTTCAATTTATTGTGCTGCTTGAAGCCAAATAAAAAAAGTGTCATGATAAAAGGGCTTTTACATGAAATTCTTTCACCGTTCACAACAGTGTTTGTGTGTCTCAGTGCTTCAAGAATCCACAAAGCATCTGTTTCTGTGACGCTTACGAGATGTTATCTCTCAAGTGAGCTATAACAAATCGTGCTTAATCTTTTGACTCTCAGCCTCCGTCCGTTTCTTCTTTTAACTTCCATATTCTGGTCACATTTCTAAGTGTCTACACGTCAAGGGTCCAGTGTGCAACATTTAGGAGGCTCTATTGGCAGAAGTGGGGAATGTAATATTCATAGGTATGTTTTCATTACTGTAGAATTGCCTGAAAGTTTTTTGTTCCTATAAAATGAGCCCTTTTTATCTACAGGTGGAGCGGTCCTCTTTCACGGAGGCTGCCATGTTGAACCTACATGTTTCTACAGTAGCCCAGAACAGCCAAACCAAACACTGCATTTGTATTTCACCGCTAGATGCCACTGAATCCTACACACTAGTCCTTTAATAGGGACAGTGTGACTGCAGTCAGAGTACTAAGCAAAGTGAATTTGGCTCTTTGATACAGACGAGTGCCATAAAGATTCCTAAGATCCTCCGTTAAATGGTTTTGAAAATGCAAGAACTTGAGACACTGCTTTCAATCATTTTTATGATTAGATGCATTTGTACGTTGTTGCAATAAAAACAGCTTAATATTTCAACTGTAACCACATCATGTCAAAGTGACTTTTTAATCATTTAAAGCTGGTATAATAAAATATTCCTATATAGACAATGGATGATATTACAAAATGATGAAATGCGTGATGGACCTTCACTGTTTTGGTTCAGTCTCACTGCTCTAATAAGCACTGTTTCCAGACTGGGTGTACAGGCAGCTGTTTTCAGTGAAAAAGCTCCAATAAAGCCATTGTGTGCTACCTGACCAGCAAAAAAAACAAAAAAAAAACAGATGGTGAACAAAGTGGTGCATTTAGCAGCTGAAAGAGTTGGTGTAGACCAAAATAGAGCTAATACAGAAATAGAATTTCTTTCTTTAAAGCAGAAATAATCAATGTTTTTACACAGGGATTTATCTCCAGACTGAAGTTCCTCAAAAGTCCTTTAGCTCTTTAAGCTCAATGTTGTGGTTTTACAGCCTGCAACTTTACTGTTGTTCCAGTCTCATTGCTTTAATAAGTATAGTTTCCACAAGTAGCTGTTTTCAGCATAAAGCTCTCCTCAACCCACTGTACACTATCTGCCCAGCACCAAAGTTAATGACTTGCTGGTGTACATAGTGGAGTATTTTTTAACCCTCAGACATTGGTAGAAACCAAACAGAGAAGGAGAGTGATCATTAGGACTTTATATTATATATATACTTTATATTTATTTATAGGGTGGCCAGAAACACAAATTTAGGTTAATGCTAATACACTAGAGGTGCTGTGTCTGCAGCAAACAAGTTCAACATATTAACTGTTTCAGGTGACACTGTTGTGTTTACAGCTTGTTGCACTACCCCCAGGTGGCCAAAAAAATCAATAAGGGTAGGTTAATTGTTTTGGGGGTTTTTTTTATTGAAAAGAAGAAAAAGCCTGTGTCTAATTAGCTTTCCCTGTTAGCTGTTCAGCAAGCCAAAGTGCAAGACAAGGTGTGTGGCTTTGTTTGTATCAGAACAGAGAGTAGCAAGAAGGCTAATGTGGGTAGTGGCTCGAAGTCAATGGCTCTTTTTAGCGCTGTGTTGCAGCTTCTGCATGTAATATATGTTCCTTTTTCAGCTCCACTTTCTGTCTACTACTCCCCCCCTCCCTCTCTCACACACACATACAGTAGGAATGTGCATGTACAGTCATTTAACATGGGCGTGATTAGTTTCCATCCAGTGCCCTTCATATCAAACCTTGTCTCCATAACAACCACTCCGCCCCTTTGCTATTTGTCCATCAGTCTAGGAGCACTTGTCCTCTACTAGCTGGCTAAGGTGACCAGACACGCCCACTCTAATGACCCCCATTAGTGGTAAATGGTAATGGGAGATTGGACTAGTCCATGTTTATGTGTACATGTGAATGTATGCATACATTCCTGCACAGCACATGCAGCCTTTGTGCTGTCATACACTGATTCAGATCAGACTCGAGGTCAAATTAATTTGCAAACCAATCAATTCTACAGATGAACTTGAACTGGCCCTGAAATGGAAAAAAAAAATTAACTTATTTTCTAATGCGCTGACTTGTTTCAGTCTGAATCTGCCATTTAACCTGATTTCCCATACTGAGTGGTGCTGAAATGAATTCGACCCAAACCTCTCCTTGAAGAATCCACAGCCAACAATAATAAGGAGCGCTGCAAATACCAATGTAATCCCTGTAGTCCGTGCCTCAACTGCATTAATATCAATTTGTGGCAGCCACTGAGTTTTCCCAAGGTCGGAAAACATTAACAGTCTTCCTGTTTAGTCCTGAACAATAAAAAAAGAGGTTAAAAACTCCACTCGGCAAGTGGGACGCAACAAAAACTTTAAACAGAGAAAGACCCGGAGAGAGGCCCAGTCACAGAAGGGACTTTGAAGTCATCTTAGCTGTTTCATCTTAGCTCTTTTCAATATTAATTGTATCCAAAGGCATTTCAGAGGAGACAACTGAGCTATTGAGAAACACTTTGAGACAAGAGGGGCGAGGCCAGGAGAATAGAGAAGTCTCTCAGAAGCACTGCCAAAAACTGTTAGCGACTATAAACTAGGTGCAAATGAGCGTAAAATACGATACGTTGGTACGCTGACATGATGGCATATATGTGTGGGAGTGTAAATGAATGGAGGGTGCACCTGGGGACATTATTAATAGAGAAAAGACATTCTGAGCTAAAAGAAAATACTGCTTATGTGAACAGTATGTGTGACATTAATGATTGCCTGGACAGTCAGACAACTGCAGCAATGATTCGTACCTCGACACATTCACCTGCTTACAACTGTAGGAAAACAGATTCAATATAAATACACAGCAAGTGACAAAAAAAAGTTATTTTTGAAGACTTCAATATGAGACAGCAAACATTTGGAAGACGTGATCTCTGCTAATAGAAAACAAGTTTGACTTAAATCAGATCTGAAGTTTTAATGGATGGCAGTTGTGACGAAGGAGAGGTTGTATTTATTTGGTTAGGCTGTGAATTCCTTTACTGATAGATGACAATAAAAGTTATTTCTGAGAGTGAAAAACTAAGAAGAAAGAAATGCTGTAAACTGTTTCAAGTAACTTTTCAATTTAGTGTAAAACTACATTGTGTAATTTCAAAGGGCCACACTCTACGGAGTGTTTTAGCTCTTTCAGCTCATTGTTTTTGTTCAATTATGGCTGCTTTCAGTTTTAATTTAGTTTCATTTTTGGTAAAAGAGACACCCAAACAAATTTGGAAAAAAGTCAAAAGGTTAATGATGCAAATATTGCAACGTTATACTCCCTTAAGGAATAAATGTATATTTTTATGTAAAAAAAACCCTTGCCTAGCACAGATTATGGGTAAATAAAATAAACTGTTTACAACAGCATGGAATGCAAACCATAAAGAATATGTAGAAAAGGATAACTAACATTTATGCTGGAGGCATTACTGTTCAAGGATTTAGAAGGAGAAAGTAATACATAGTAATAGATATTTTTCTTTTTTATGTTGCTATGTATTTCTCCTCTCGCTTATTTTATGCTATCAATAAATAGCTGTTTCACTCCATGTGCTGGATTATATCACCACTTTTGTAATGCAATCATTTTATGTATTATTTACTTTATGGATTTGCTCTGGCAACATGTTTTTCAATCAGCTTGAACTGGCATAAGGAAATAAAGGAGGAGTAAGGAAGGAGCACAGTAAAAGAAAGAAGAGAGGGTGAAAGGAGGAGAGTACTGTTGAGCTTCGCATGTTGATGTGTTAGTAGGAAGAAATAATCAACCACTGCAGAGTCGGAGATGTTTAAATGTAGATGAGCCAACACGAGGTCCTTAAACGCAGAATTAACAGCAATTTTCTACCTGCCCCCAAAATTCATCTGTATATAATACTTAAAAAGGGAAAGAAAATACCCTTTAAGGATGTAAGGAAGTGTGGCCAAAAACATATAGATATACACTGACCAGTGACCACGTGTGGGAGAAACACACAAAAAAAGAAACAGAGATTCTCTGATTTCCTCCTGTTGCCAGGGTAACCAAATGAACAGATGCAGGTCACACTGAGTGGAGGACCAGAACACACACACATAAAAACATATACATATGTCTTCATATATTTTTAGTTGACTTCACGGCAGGAAAGAATATTTAACTGCTGCAAATGATGAAACCTATAGGTATGGTTGCTCAAAAATAAAGCAGCTAACAGCCTCAATGGGAGAAATGTCAAATATACCAAACACATTCTCCTCTACAGGTTGGTAAACTACTCTAATACTATTAGTAGTTTGCTTTTAATACATAAACCTCAAAACATTGTTTTAGTCCTGGAAAGTTGCAATTTTTGAGATATGTCCCCCCCACCCTCCCCCCCGCCAACAGCGATTATCTGCAACTCCAGTTAAACTCATCCAGTCAGCATCCCTCTGCTAAGTCTCCGATCATTCTGCCCCTGCTGCAGTTTCTCTCAATTTGGCATCGTCGCTTCTCTTCGCTTTCCCCTCTTCCGTCGTTCACTTACCCTCTCTGTCTCCCTGTGGCTATAAGTCCTACTAACCCACGCATGTACACACACCCACAACATCAAAAGAGAGTTTCTGAATGCGAAATGACCCAGTGAGTTTCTCTTCCTACGTCACTGTAGATGAAGGAACCATCAGATAAAACAGAGGATCAGGTTGCATTCTGATCCACAGGCTACAGGTGGTTGTATTTCTATGTGCGATCATGTGGTAGTGTATGTAAAAGCCATGAAACAAGCATGGTTTAAGCGTGCATTTTTAGTGTAAAAAAAAATAGCATTAGCATGTATGTGTGCAGCTTGATGCTGGAGATAGAGTGGCGTAGGATTTCTGCGCGTAGGAGGAACCTCACATGGCATCAGTGGGGAGAGGCAGCAATGATTGCAAAGGAAGAAGGAAGAAAAAAGAGGATACAAAGAGGAGGAAATTGAATAAATTAAAGAGATCAGAGTGAAGGAGACACAACTAGTCATGTTAATCACTGCAAAGAAAATGATGAGAAATGATGAGCTACACCTAGGAGAGAGAGCTCAGAGGGAGATGGGACAACAGAGAGATTATATTTAAAGCACAGAAAAAGAGAAAACACAGCCAAAGCAAAGACAAAAAAAGAACAAGAAAGGAAAGACCAATGTATAAACAGATCCCATCCTAAACTCCCAGCATCAAGATCTCTCCAGCTTCCTTTTCTTTTTCTCCAAAACATACAAACACACACTGAAAACACTCACCATAAACTGGACGTTGTCAAATCCATTGGCCAGCAGGTGGTTCTCGTACTGGACCAGGCCGATGGAGTCGAGCCACTGGCCCACGGACTGCAGCGGGCAGCGGGGACCTATGAGGGGGTGGAGGGGCAAACGCTTCAGTAGGGAGTAGCCGTCCACGCGGTAGCAGCGGCAGTCCGGCTGAGACAGCTGGCACTGCCACATCATGTTATGGCGGGCAAAGTGGCTGTCGAACGAGCCCGCCATGCTTTTGAGGAGTCTTTTGGCAAGGCAGCAGCAGGAGGAGGAGAATAAAGGGGAGGAAGGTAGAGGGGGGGAGGGAAAGGTGAAGAAAGAAGGAGGAGGAAAAGGAGGAAGAGGAGGCTAGGCTAGAGGCATGGTGAGGATGGAGGGGGTCAGCATGCAAGGGTGCAAGTGGGTAAAGAGTAGGTTAAGGCGTCCAAATGATGCTGTCTCTGAATCCAGCCAGAGGGAGGATGAGAGGGGGGTAAAAGCTGAAGTTGTATCCAGAGAAGAGCTTCGGTCCTGGGGTTAAATCCTGCCAGTGATGGGTGTTGGAAAAGACTGGAGGTATAGATCCGCAAGCAAAAGCGACTGGCTCTGTGTTTGTCGCGCAAAGCACAGCAGCCGCTTTCTTTTTCAGCTGTTGCGCTCGCTTGGCTGCTCCCTTGAGCGTGTGTGTGTGTGTGTGTGTGTGTGTGTGTGTGTGTGTTTGTGTGTGTGTGTGTGTGCGCACGCAAGTGTGTGTGTGTGTGACAAAGAGAGAGAGAGAGAGCGAGAGCTGCCTGCGCTGTAGATTTCTCTTTATCAAGTACTCCCACTCTCATCTGTATGCTTCTGCAGCCTCCTCTCTCTCTCTCTCTCTCTCTCTCCCTCTCTCTCTTTTCTCTGAGCGCTGCTTTTCTCCTTCATTCCCTCACTCTCTCTCAACCTCGCTCACTTTGCTCTGTCTACCTCCTGTGTCTATCTTCTCTCAGGGTGTCGATCGTCACCCTGCTCGCTCTTCACATATCTGGCTCGCTCTGCTGATAATAGCCATCACAACAGCTCCAGCTTCTTTGTCTGCAAAAAGCTGAGCTCCCTCCCTCCCTCCCACTCACAAACCACGTTGGGTGTATGTATGCAGGCGCATCTACAGTATATGTACGTGTTTGTCTGTGTTTGTGTGTGTGTGTGTGTGTGTGTGTGTGGTGTGTGCTGTGGTGTTGCTATGTGTGTGTTTGGTGGTGGTGGTGGGGGGCTGCTTTGGCACAAACAGGATTTCTCCCAGTGGTAACCATGGTTAGGAGAGGCTTTGCATTCATAGATGAAAAGAGAGGAGGAAGAGGGGAGGGGATCAGGAGGTGGAGGATGGGGGAGTTAACACAGGGAGAGGGGGATGAACGCAGTAAATAGAGATGAGTAGCGGAGGATTCAAGGTACGCAGGTGAAAAAAAACTGGCACCAACCGGGATTTGATGGAGACAACAAAGTCAAAAAGCAGAATCACTCACACACATACAAATCAAAGGATCATTGTGGTTTATTGCAATTATTATTATTAATTATTTTGTAGTTTTGGCCATCATTCAAATTGGTTTTAATGCATCTTTCCTATCGGTTGTATTGAATTAAGCTTTTAGTGCATGTTGAGCAGGGAGACAACTGTCACCTTTAATTTCTCTGGAGCTCCACTTATCAGTTCTCAATCAATTAACTCAACGTGATCTGTTTGTGGCCTTCTCCTCGATCAGCGAGCATTAGGGATGTTTAACTACATAACCTGTTCTCTCTCTAATGTCACTTTAGCTCTCCACATCCCAAAGCCACCCGTGTCAACTGTCTGTAGCTCCAGCATTTCCTAAACTTTTTGGCTTGTGACCCCTTCAAAATAACCACAGCTCTAAGTAAATGTTATTATTAGTTCGAAAGGAAAGTCAAAATAATTAGAAAGGAAGAAGAGTGGAGTATCGTATAACATACCACACATTTCAGAGTTACCTTCAAATAAAGTGGTTTAGATTATCTGGCTGTTACAGAAAAGTCTGACAAGGCAAGAAACTGTAACAATGTCGCAGTGTTTCCAGATCTCAGCAATTACTGTGGTGAGTACAGTGTTATCATAACCAACAGTAAAGATGTCCGAAACTACTAAAATAAGACCCAAACTGAAATAAACCAGAATTATCTTTAAATCCTTTAAATCAGATTAACTCACACACTCACACTCAACCGTATATATACTTGTGTGTATTTTACCTGAGGTGTCCTCCTTGATGTCCAATCCACTGCCTATTCCTGCCCCAATGGAGCTCATAATCTTGTCGATCTGAACAAATAGGAGAGAGAGACAGACAGAACCAGAGTTACAGAGATGTACAGAATGTGCATGGGAAAGTCATTTCCCAGTAATAAGGCTAACCCCTATTTCTGGATTCAAGTGTCACATAACATGATCATTACGCCAGCCAGCGCACTGAATGTCAGTCATTCCCTCTGTGAATTGAAAAAAGCTTGGAGGAGCAGAAGGGGAAAAAGATGTGTTACAGCAGAGATGAAGGAAGAGGAAGACTGAATTGGAGGGAGCCACGGTAGCTTCATTAGTGTCTGGCAGCTCGCTGTCAAATGGTCATCCCTGACCCTGGACCTGCTGCTAACCACTGAGCTATGCAACCTCCACATCCATCCACCTGTCAGGACTGCTGGCTCACCACGGGTCAGAGAGAACTGGCCTTGCTGCAACTGGTCTAACCAGTGTTTAAAGGGCCCGGTCTGACAAAAACAAACAGTGTTTACAAGCTGGTGAACCATGGAGGTGGCCTTATTTCAGTAGCTGGATAAACAGGCAGCTATTTCTGCATATGTCACTGCACACAAAGCACCAGTTCATGTGTACCTAGTATATGGATACAGTAACAGCGTACTGAACCAATGTCTTGATGATCAGATTGCCATTTTTTCTTATCCATTATATTTAAACTGGAATGTGCCCAGATCTCAATAATTGTCTAGGTGACTAAAATGTTTCCGACAGCGGAGAAGAACAAAACTGCAAATATAAAACCCAAGATGTTGTTACAGAATTGTCCTTGAAGGGATTCATCATCTCTGTAGTTTTCTGTATTAAATCTGTATTATTTACATCTGTGGTGATGGGCAGAAATACCAACATTTTGCTACAGGCTCCAACACATTTTCAAGGTAAAGCCAGATTAAAACACAAATTTGTAACATAGAGAAACCACCTTAATTATGCCTGTAGTACTAATGAGTATGGATATCTCCAGATCATTGACTGTTGTGCGGCATCCCTCGTGACTCACTTCTTGCTAATAATGCAACTCTTTCCAGAGCATGTGCTGCAAATAAAGCAACTTCTTTTATTTTTTTCCTCTGAAATCCCCATATATCACTCCACAGTTTCCCCTGAAGCCATCTTATCTCATCCTCCCGTAGCACGCAATTAAACAGGAAAGGTCACCTTAATTGCTGAGAATTATGGGAAATTCCATATGGTAATTCATCACCATCAGCAAGTTATGAGGTGTGTTGAGGAACTAATGAACATGCACATGCAAATGTGGACAGGCATGCACAAATGTACTTTCACTCACACACATTAGCATTATTTTAAAAATAGACTGACTAATTAAGCCATGTTCATAACTAAAATAAAATGGTACACGATTCTTCATTTTCAACACGCATAAGAATCAGTTTGTAGAAGTGTGTGCCGTCCGTGGTGTGAATGATGACCAGTGAGCAGAAGCTAATGTGTCTGTGACCCAAACAGTTTATAAAGGGGCGAAATCAAACAGTGGTGTCCAGTCAATGGATCACATCTGTGTCAGAGGACCCTCTAATCACGAAGAAGCCCCAGGCACAAACACACAAAGACCAAAACACACAGCACCCTCGACCTCCGCTCTCCCCCCTCTATAACAGAAACTGCTTTCTGTCTTATATCTGTTCTTCCCTGCAGCTCCAGTGCCGGGTACAGACGAAATCAATGTGGGAGCATGTTAAATTAGCACTGGGGATCCTTCTGCACAGTAGTAGCCGAGTGGATTTCAAAGGGAGGATAAACTGAAGCAGCTCGCTGCTGTGGGTGCAGTCGTTTCAATTGCCCCCTGCGGAGATAGTTCACTTGTAGAAGCTGGTTTAAATATATTTTACAATGGAAATACATGTAGTGTCACAGTAAAGAGACTCAATAATCTGAGTGGTGAAAACATGACACATTTATTTCTATCTTCTGTGAAATCCACCACGTTCTTACTTTAATATCCTACACATCTGTGAATACAGTGTTCATAAAACTTACCTCTTCCCACTCAGCAGTGAAGGAGGGTGTTCTCTCCAGCCTCCCGCCTGGGCTAGCACCCTCTCCTGGGTTGGGACTTCCAGGTCCTTGGCCACGAGATCCAGACCCCCAGCCGTGCTCCTCCTGGACCAAACAAAAAAACGGTTTGTTTTCAAGCATAATCAAACGACAGACAATGGTTGCCAAATACTTTAACGGTAAAAATATGGAACTGAGCATTAAAAACTGTTTAGAGAGTCCTTTCACTGCTCATCAAAGTTTCATAATGAAGCATTTTTCATCAAACAGACTATGTATTTAGCTTATGATTTATTTTCAATGAATTAAAGAAGCTTCATAAAATGTGCTGCACAGCAGGGAGCACTGTGGCCCAGTTTGGTGAGTTATCTAATTGGTTGGACTGGTTTCTCTGCTCTTTCTGAAGTCACTCTGCATGATACAGCAAGATGCAAACTACCTCCATGACTGCATAATTTATAAAACTGAATATTTACAATAAATGCATTGGCTTTCATGGCTAACTGAGATCTTGGTGCTGACCTGAACTTATATAAAAAGAGAAACTTTTTATAAAAGAGATTTTCATGTCATCCTTGGCCTCTTACATAAATGTCTCAGAAGAACGAGACAGTATCAGAGAAAAAAGACTTGTCTTCATAATGAAACTCTTGAGCTCCATTTATAAATCATCCTCTCGTTAATGCTTTGATTGCACGTCGAGTCATTTTAGATGAGAGTAACAAAAGAAGATTGAAATCAAATCTAAGTCTAGACATGTCAGTTACCTGTATGGGAGACACAGCTACCAGGTTGGAATCAGACTTGGACAGAGACTTGGACAGCTGCAGGTCCAACACACTGCGGGGCATGGACCTCATCCTCCCCAGGGTGCAAGCCCGCTCTTCGTAGCCAGCACCTGATGCACTGCCCTTGGAAACACCTCCTGTGTGGATCCCCCGTAACTCTGGAACTTCCCCGTTATGACCAGAGTAGAAGGAGGGTGGGCGGTCCAGTGTAGACCAGCCACGAGGTTGATCAACCTGCTCGCAATTCCTGGGTCGGGCCTGGTCCTGGTTGACCCTAGTATGGAAGATAGTCCGGTACACCACTTGTGGCTTCTGGGGGTCGTTGGCGGTTGACTGAGGAGACGACTCGCTTCCTGTCCTGGGGAAGACTTGAGTGGGTCCTCCTCCAATCACGATGCTGAACTCAGGGGTCTGCAACAGGCTGCTCTGGACTTCTGTAGGGGCATATGTGCGAGGTTTGGGGTTGTAAAGATGGTAAGGTGTATCAGGGGTTTCACAAGCCGGGGAAGAACCATGAAGGAGGCCCGCAAACTCCTCTGGGATGTGGCTCTTCCTACGCTCCTCCAATAGAGTATTGGATGTGGAAGAGGAAGAGCAGGGAGGAGGAGGAGCAGGTGGGTCTCGCCCGTCGTCTGCAAAGAGAAAAAACACACAAAAACACTGACTGATTAGGATTAAATCATACAGATTTGCATAAAATGGTCCTGTCACAATAGTGATACACACTAATGAATTTACTCTACAAGGAAAACAAGACAGAGATCACACATTTACATTCACTGCACAAACAAAGCACACAATAATATTTAAAACTGTAGAGCAAAATACTTAGTACACAACAGAACAGAGAGAGAGAGAGGGAGGAAAGCAATAGAGCTAAAAAAAAACAAATGCTGCAAAACAACCAAAGCTGCAAATAGGAAGATAAGAACAACGCAATACATCTCCTGCTTCCCTGTTGAAAAGCTGTTTGTTTCTCCAAGGAAAACTAAAAGAACTCCTGACTTGGATTTTACACCTCTGCTCCTTCACTGGGTGAAAAAGTGTGCGTTTGGGTGTCTGAACTTGTGCGTGTATGCATGAACTCATCGAGGCAGACGTTCTTACACCATTGACTGAGTTTTTTTTTTTTTTTGAGGGAATGCTTTCATGGCCCACTCACTGTCTGTGTGCAGTGGGGTGAAAGTAAAGCCACTGAAAGCTTCTTTTGATTCTTCTGTATATTGGTGTGTAATAAATGCCCGTCTGTGTGTGCGTCTGCCTGTCAGTTTGTGAATGCTTATGTTCACATCTGCTAACAAGTAACACCTGAGGGCACAATAATTGTCTTGCATGTTAAAACGATGTAGTCCTCATGATATGAGATGCAAAATGAGGTGAGGTGGGTTATTTATTCTCATTCTACCATGAGTATTTATTACAGTTCGCCAGAGAAGTGACACTCTCAAATCATAATGATTAATCGTCAACTCAATATAAAGACTGTTATAAAACAAGTAACATTATGTTCCAGTGAGATTCACGTTGTAGCTTAGCTCCTCCGGGAACAGCTGTGCTCTTATTTATAGTTGCACAAATAAAATCTCTTACACAGTGTGACTAAAATGAAATGCCAAATTTATGGAGTTGGAATGATTAGTAGAGGTGTAAAGATAGAAAAGCAGGTAGGCAGGTGGAGGGAATCGTGCAGAATAAATCTCAGACTGGTAGGGATGAAAGACTGATGGAAAGAAAGTCATGAAAGATTTCTTGTGCTTCTTGTGTGTATTGGAGACTATATACATTAAAGGATCATACCAGTGTGTTTGCAGGTCATCCATGAAGCTGCTCTAATCATTATTTTTATATTACTAATAGATTAAATTAGTATTTATAATACCAAAGGGATTGCTTGTAGTGACAGAAAGTGAATCATCTGGTGCTGCGGTTCCACTCAGCTCTATGACGCCTTTTTAGCTCATTTCAACTCATTGTGTTGGTTTTACAGCTGACAACTATGTTTTGAATCAGCCTCACAGCTTTTATGAAGTCTAGTTAATTTTAAATATATAGCCCTGTATCACAAATGTGGACAAGGGGTTTTACAATCTGTACATCACTTGATACCTTCTATCCTTAGATCCTTGATTCAGATAAGGAAAACCCTCAAAAGACCTTTAACAGGGAAATAAATGGAAAAAAACCTCAGGAGGAGCAACATAGGAGGTAATCCTCCTTCTCAGGTTGTACAGTTTTAAGTATTTAAGTTATTATTAGATATCAATAGAGGTTATGATAATATTGATTTATAAAGTCTGCAAACTGCATTACATTGTATAATGTAAATGAATGCAGGCTTGAACCTCACTGTGACTAACATGGGCTGCTTTCAATAGATTTTACTATATGGGAATGAATGTAAACAAATGAATAGACAGTGTAAAAGAACATTTCTAAAACGAAACATGTTAGCACTACTACGAAAACATAACGATTGCTATATTCAGGTAATTATACACTAATGAAAAACATACCTATGAATATAATTTATTCCCTTTCTGCCAATAGATCCTCCTATATGTTACACACTGGACCTTAAAAGCGCTCTGTAGCTATGCCATTTGTATGTTACTGGCTAGAACCACTGGTATAGTCTGTAATGTCATGTATAGTGACCCATCAGCAGTTAAAAATTGTACCTCTGATCTGCCCAAACACAGACACACGTCGAAACCTGCAAGAGGCTTTTCAGGATTGCGTTTTGTTTTCCAATCATCTGCTGATTAAACTATAATACAACATTATATTCTGTCTCATCACCTTACAATCTCTAAACAGCTGAAAAGAAAAACTGCGTCTGTGTGTTTGCGTGTGGAGCCCAGATCTCTCTCGTTCTCTGTTTCCTATCACTGTGTGTTAACATTGTGCACCAGGCCATGTAAACAATCTCACCACTGATAAGTATCACGCACTCTCAACAGTCCCAGAATCACGTAGTCACTTGAATGAGTACAAACACTGCATGTCCACGCTCACATAAATGCAAACTCCACAGCCTTGTAATCAAAACTGTCACTTGACTAATTGCATTCATCCCCGCTGCCCCCCGAACCACTCACTGAATTTACAATCTAGTCATTTGACCGCAAAGTCCTGCTGCTCGCCACCTCTTCACCCCACACACACACAAACATTCTCTGTTGTGAGCCAATTTGAGCTAGCACATCATGACTGTCCTCGGCACATCCAACCACATTTCCATATGTAACAGAGATTTTCATAAGGAAATTTAAGTCTGCAAAAGTCACTCACACAAGAGTGACTCACTGGAATCATTCACAGTGATTAAAAACAGGAGACGCTCTCCTCACTGTGGAGGAATAAAAGTGGGAGAAAAGTGGAACAATATTAAAATCAGTCCTCGAATGGAGAGCCTTTTCGTATCGTTTGGAATTTGAATGTTACTGCAAATTAAATGGCTGCTGTGTTTAGAAGTACAAAACACCCATTAACAGTCTTCAGGTAATGAGGGTTGAAAAACATGACTCATCCTCAAGCGTTACGTCGACTGAAATTGTCATTATTTCCTACACAAGCTGAAAGCTTTTTAGTTATGACTAATCCTCAACATTTTACAGGATAAACGGGACTAAGTGGCTAAAAGATCAGCATAAATAGACAGTGTGTTGACCTTTGTCCCTTTAACTGCACCACGAAGGCATCGATTGTATATTTCTTGACACCGTTCTTTCTGTACGTGCTTCTCAAAGCCCTGCCGTGCATTTCTTTTCCAGTCCTTTATCACTCTTTCTATGCCTCTCCTCTTTTTAAAAAAGATGAGAACCGTTGGCAACAGGTGAGCCTGTTGGTCGCTATGGCAACAGAGAGCCCCAGCGCCAGCATCTCTCCCAGTTTATTTTATTTACTTTTTTGGGGCGGCTAAGTATCTCTGGCCTTCAGGAGAACGAGGGAAAAGTGAACGGCTGATAAACACAGCAATCAAATCAGCAGGTGTGTGTTTGTTTAGACAGAAAAAAAGAAACACTACAGAGGTAGATCTGATATATCTGTGAGTACAACAGTAAAAGGTCTGAGGACCGGGCAGAAGACAAGCTGAAAATTATTCTAAAAAAATTACTTATTCAGGTAAAGATAGAGGGGAAAAAAAAACTAATATCAGTTGAGTTGATGAGAATATTGACGAGCTGAAAACTTGTGTCAGCCAAATTACAGGATGGATAACACTGCAGTAGAGTAATTTGGCTCAACTCAAGCAGGAAAGTCTTGGTTCTCTTTTTCTTTTTCTTCCCCTGCAAACAATCAATAGTCCACCTTTGTGTGTTGTTTTAACTTTCATTACTGAGCTTACAGATCGCTCTGCAGCTTCGCCTGACTGACTGACTGACTGTCCTCTGTGTGTGTGTTTGTGTGTGTGTTTCTTACCTGGGCATCCAAGGTAATATCAGCTCAAACTAAGGAACAATCACACCGTATGTACTGTACACATAGCGAGTGTCTATGAAGAAGATGGTAAAACAGCAGCTGCATACCTGCATTTTTATTGCAGAACTAGTACACATACACACAAACACGTACAGGTTGTGGCATGCAGCAGCCCAGCCCAGAAACTGATTAGTATTTGGATAAGATGTGTTAATCTCAAGACAAACAACCATAGTAATGTATGTGTTTGTTAGCGCAATAAATGGAGACACGTGTGTCTCAATATTACTCTCTGGTATAAAGTTAACTCTTTCACTGTTACGAATCAATGAGTATGTTTCTTTATCATCAGTATCACTAAATGGTCCACTTCGAAAAGCAAAGACTGATTTATTAAGTCATATTATTGATTGACAGACTAATGCAATGATGTGTGAAGCCATCACTTCCAGCTGATAAACGGTGAGAGGCAAAACCTTAAGCTGTGTACATCCTCCCACCACTCACCTATCAGTGGAAGACAGTGGGAGGGAGAGAAATAGATCTGAAATCGAGCTTTCATCCAGTCTACCAAAACACCATCTATTCTACTATACTATATTTATTTATAGGTCAAATAAAAACACTTTAAATTCAGCATCCCCTGGGGTATCGATTAAATGCATTCATTGCATTATTATTATTTCTAAATAAATAAATACATATATGAGAATAAGATAAATAAAAATAAGTATTGAATATAGTACATTGTCCAGTCTCTTGGTGCAGTTATATATATAAAGTATAATATATTATATTTTCCATTGTCCTCCAAAAACAGCGTACATAATCTACAAAGTCAGTATCTAATATCAAATTAGGATAAAATTCACGTAATCCTTTGTTGCACCGCTCTACTGTGGCGTCTAAAGAAAGAGGAATATTTTGGATATTCATTGTATCCAAGACATAGATTTTTCTTGTGTCCCACCTCCATTATTGAGTATGTACTAAATACTAATTGTTGTAGTACACCGTCTTTGCAGTAAAAGAAACCGATGTACTTTTCACAGCTGTTTAACATGTGATAGCAGGAAATAGTAATAAAATAAGTGTAACTAATAACATTAACAACGCCTCTTGTGCACCTACGTGGAATGCAGTTATAATTAATGTTATTAGTTACACTCGTGCTTATCCCGGTGGTCTGGTCTTCAAGTGCACGCATAAA